GAAGGAGCCGTCGTCGTCCCCGGTCGCGGAGGAACCTCTCCCTGAGCGACGGAGGCGCGGGATGGGTCCACCAAAGAAGACACCGACTGTCCGGTCGCGGCGCCACTCCGTCATCCTCTGCGGGAGCGACCGGCAGCTCACCACCAGGAAATGCCAGGCCTGGAGACGAGCCATCCCCAACTGCCACCTCGAGAGGGCCCCAGGACCTGGCCACCAAACGTCGCCATGGGATGGCCCATCCTCGACGCCGAAATCCTTGGGGTGGGAGAATACCGCGAACGTGTGCATTGGCACTGGCGCCCCGTAAAATAAATCGCGTACCTGGGGGGGAAGGGGCGCGCGAACAATAAAAAAAAAGTGAAATATACAAAAAAAGAAAAACCGCACTCACATCGGCGCGGCGGGCCTAGTGGCCACTCGTGACGAGGCACAGAAATATGCCTCGTTACAACAGGTAACCTGTTGTACTCTTTCTATTATTTTTGTCGTTTCCGCCCCAATCTGAATCTACATAACCTTGTAAAATATCATTATAATTACTTCGAACAAAAGTTAATTTCATATCAATGGAACCTTTAACCCTTTGCGGAGCGCTCTCGGACGAATCCATCAATATGGACGGCGCGTTTTTCGCTTGTCGGTCGCTGCGACCAGTTGTCCACTGACTAGAGGGCACTGACAGTGACCAAAACAGTACCCGGAAATTTGATGCTATTCTTAGGGTTTAAAAAATAATAATGGCAAAAAAATTAAAAATATCAATTTTTTTATTTATATTAAGTAACTTTTTAAGCTATTTTAATTTACTTAACTTTTGTACATTCCTTCAATAATAATCGGTAAATAAATATAAAGGAAAAAATCAAAAATTTATAATGTAACACAGGATATGACAACTTTAACAGGATATTTTGATAATTTTAACATAATAATAATAAAAATAATAAAACCATAATGAACGAATAAAGATAAAATTCTAGTAGAAAAATTTAATCTTTGAATTTTGCGCCGCCTCCGAAAAAGTTGAAATGTATTTAATACACTACGGTTTAATTCATATCTGTGACGTAATTGTATGATTCAAAGAAATAGAAATTACTTCATTAGGAAATAGAAATTATTTTATACTTTTTAGTGCATTTCGAAGTCGGTGTATTTTTTTTCTTAAAATTATTTTATTTACATTCATATCTGCTTTCTCGTCGGATTTTATGTTTAGTGCATACCACACATTTTCGTGTTTGATTCTTTTTTTTCGCAGACGGATTGACATAAGTACTTGGAAAATGCCTTTCAATAAGACGTAAGGGATCGTCGGTATTTCTTTCCCCTTGGTATGTATTTGAAATTCGTAAATATTTTCCAAATATTTGTTTTATCACTAGTAAATGAAATGTCGCGAATTTTAACTCTTGACCTGATACGTATTTATATAAAACATATGCATTCCAAATACTTATATCTAATAAATGAAAAAAAAATTTTTTATACCATTTATAACTTTTCCTAATACACTCAACAGTACTAATTACCATATCGGTCTTATCTACAGCACCCATATTACGATTGTAATCCTGTATACATGTGTAACAACCCTGAGACCTAAGTTCAGTTTATTACAAGCGCTAACAGGTAAAGAGCGGCTTTTACCCCTAAACGACTCGATTTTACAAATAAAGATTGTGGGATTCGTGTGGTGTGCGGTTAAGGAGTGAAATCCACAGGTCAAAATCTTTCAACAATTAGATTTATTCAATAAAACGATAAGAAATGAAACTAACAAATAACAATAACAACAAATAAAGAAATATATATATATTATAAATGATTAATTAGAATAGAGAAACTAAATAGTTCTTGATATAATAATAATAATAGAAATAATAGAATTTGACGAATTAAACAATATGTAATAGATAATCTTGAATTTACGATATAAAACTCGCTGGTTAATACTTTATATTGGACCGTATCTAATTCTGATCTCTGATAAAGTTAACTTCGTTTTTAAACGTATTCGATTCTCGTGTTCGAAGCTATCGCAGTGACAAGACTTTACTTGATTAACACGCTTGTAATTTATAATGAATCCTACCTAAGTGTAATTCGGTTTCTAACTTAATATAAATGAAATTTTACAAAATTAGAAATGTTAGCGCTTTTATAGTCTACCGCCGCGCCGCGAGGAATTCGACCTAAGTGAGATTCTCTAAACGTATTAGGATACGTTTTCGCAAAATTAGACAGATTTATCTGCTATCTAACGCGGTGTAGTCGACTACGTGAATTATACATTTATTACCGACAGTTTACTGAATTCTTATGATACTCGATTTGTCTAATGTCGCGGTCGGTAAGGGAGAAATACAGTCGATAATTGAAGAAATGACACTGCAATAAAAGTTTGAAAATTCTTCGGGGATGTTACAAAAATTTACGACACAATAATTTTTGTAGAAGGAAACACTTATTGTATTGAATAAATCCAACAGACTCACATTCATAATTAATACAAATGATATATTAGTTAAAGAAATAAAATTCAATTATTAATTAATTTTACGTCGAAGTCCGGTATATGCCGGAACATAACACACCATGGAAAAAAACCAAGTCTAGCGGACTCGAACCTGTGACAAAAAAGCATACAGAGATTACGAGGTAGGACTCTTAACCTCTTAACCAATTCTTTAGTTGAAGTATCGTCTTACGTTCCGGAATATAATGGACTACAACGTAAAATTAATTAATAAATGAATTTTATTTCTTTAACTAATATATCATTTGTATTAATTATGAATGTGAATTTATTTAAAATTACTCAATATATATATATATTGACAAAAGAAGGCACGCAAAGCGGAAAGTACTGTTTAAAAAGAATATATTGGTTTTTGATTTTTTTAACTGCGGCGCAGCTCACCGAAAAATCTGAAAAAATTAGGGAATATTGGTTATGCAAATATGTAACTATCACATTAATATAAAAGTAGTGGTCCGACATCTTCATTAAAAAATCGCATTTTTTTTATTTTTTTGGGGGTTTTTAATTTTTTATAACTGCAATTTGCGATATAAGAATCTGAAATTAGCTGTTGCTTGTTTCAGCGTGTTTTTGTTGTATTGGAAATCTCCAGAAGTTTGATGAGCGCATATTTCTTCGCGTATTGTAAAGTATAGCGCGAAGTCCCTCTAATACGCCCTTCAAAATGTGTATCTAACAAAAAAGAAATGTTGACATATGAACTGATTGAATGATCCTTAATTTGTTACATTGTAAGCACGCTCTCTCAAATGGCGATGACTTCGCAGCTATGATTGTCGTCAAATCAGGAAGAACTCGGCTGGATGTTGTTTAAGACGTTTATTTTTCTTCTAACTGTTACAGTAACGCCCGCACAGAGTCAAGGTTAACTTAAAACTGAGTATATGGGTCCGTCGAAGGGCCTTCTTATATACTAGAATTTCGAAGGGGTGGTAGCCCAGTGGTAGGGAGAGGGTCCTGGGAAATGAGGTTTTTCCACAAAACCATAATTAGGTAGGGACATAGAAAGGAAACCATAAATTGGCGATAAGTGGTTTTCGTAGTCTAGCGGATGTTGGCTTGATAGGCAGGTCCCAAATCTTGGAACCGAGAGTGGTGTGATAAGGGATGGAAAAGTTACGGGGTATGGAAAGTTATGGGGGTCCTTCCGGGAAGCAGGGAAAGCTGGGCGATAGAGATCCGAGGGTTACTCGACATGATTAAGTGAAATATGCAACTTTATAACACATGTCGTACGACCACACCCTAGGTTGTAAAATCTCGTGTCACCATCTCGAAACCGGAAGTAACTCCTTCAACGCGGCCGTAAATCTACAAGTACCAGTTTAAATACTAAAATAAAACTTTTTCTATTTCTTCGCATCGTCGATAAACTCTAGTTTTTAAATTCGACACCCAACGTAAATCATGCATAATCCTTTAAAAAATTCCGAGGTGGATAACAATAGTGTAAAATAAAGTTATGTTATATTACAAGTTGCAACATCTGTTGTATGTATATTAGTTTTAAAACATAATTTTCGTAAAATCCAATCGTATATAGTATTTAAATTATGAAGTAATCTTGAGCAGCGAGTTGCCATTACATATTCGGCTTATTTATAAAAAATAACGGATCATTTTTTAAGACCGATTCCCAAAATTAGTGGATATAGAGACACGCGAATATCGAACCCTATTTCCTGAACCGTTAAGACGACTTTACTGTATATAGAATATCATCTGAAATGTGCGATTTATCATACATGATATTCGGTAATTACAAAAGGTATCTAGAATAAAAAATATTTAATTACATCATTTGCTGTAATTATTTCTAAAATTCTACCAAGAAAGTTTAATTATTATTTAACTGTATTTTGATAAAGAACATTATACATTTATACGGATTTTTATACAAATATAAATAAATACACTCATATACATACTTATACACTTCTGCAATATTTTTACAATAATATAAAAACATAAAACAAATTCAATCGTATTACATAACAAAGAGTTTTTATTAAAAAAGAAAACAACAAAAGTAAGATATAATTTCAAGATACTTGTACGTGTAATAGATATTACTGTCTTTGAGGAAAATTATTTCACAAATTAGTATATAATTTGATAGTACTTAACATGATTAAATTTAACATTTTTAGAACTAAGTTTAAAGATATCTACGGTAACGTTGATTGGTATTTTAAATACCGATGTTTTTTCACGCTATTTTGTACATATATATTTTGCTGTATCGCATAATGAATTACAATTATTATTGGTAGGCAAAAGTATTAACACTAATAAGTATGGAACAAAATCATACAAGGATTAACAGAATATTTAATAAAATCGCTATTTAGTGAGTTTACAGTTGATTCATTTCGTCATACTTTTAATCTATTTTAACTACAAGTGCTTAACCTAACTAAACGGAAAAGCTTTCCCCACATCCACAAATTCCTTTAATATTTGGATTATTAAAAATAAATTCAGAGCTCAATTTACTTTCTATGTAGTCCATTTCAGTGCCTAAAAGAGATAATTGTGCCTTTTTGTCAATTATAATACGAACACCATCCTGAACAACTTCTTCATCAAGTTTTGATTTTTCTGTGGCATAATCGAGAGTATAACTCAAACCGTTACACCCACGTTGTTTCACACTAACCTTTAAACCGATCTGAAACATAAAATAACAATTTCATTCAATATTTGATTTTAAATATCATTTGCAATATTAGACACATAACATTTAATATAAATTTCTCCTACTGTAAATAGATTTTTATAATTCTATTGCATTATGATAAAAAGTGATTTTGTTTAATATTTGCTAATATATCATTGATATTGGTAATATATATATATATTACATGTATACAGTCATCATATGAATATATTACATTCATATGTTGTTAAGTATACAGGGTATCTCACAATTAGTATAGGTCTCGGAAATGGGGGGTCACTGATGTGATTCTGTACAAGACTTTCCTTTACAAAAATGAGGTTTAAGAATTCGTTTTCGAGTTATTAAAGTAAAACACGGACCAATCGGAGCACAAGAATTGCGCATGCCAAAACGTGAGAGCGACAGCCCGAGCCTGATGACCGAGCGTAATCCTGAACAAACATCTTTGCGCCGGAGCAAACTAAACGTTTAATAAGAAGCCCTTATGTTAATACTCAGTTATAGTGATTAAACGAATTAAAAATAAAATTTACTTATTCATTTTTCGCAAATACGTGATAAGCAAATTTGAGTCAAACTCACTTATTGTTTAAAAATAATTATGTTCCAGTAAAATTGTATTCTGTTGATTTCATCGACCTTGATCTTTCGTAAAAAGACACACTGCACGATATCTAATGTCACAGCCTAATCAGTGAACTCGTTTCACTTCGTTGTCACTTCTAATTGGGATTTTTAACTGCAATATTCTGCTATCACTGTTCACTAATTTCTTAATGAAATAAACACAGATAAAGAACGCGAATGAAAACGCATGACGTTTATTCATCAATAATTTTAGCGACTTTTTATTTTCTCTTTGATGTTGAATACCCGACGATCTGTTCTAAACTTCCGAACGGAACGCGATGAACATCGACGGAAAATTTAGACAATAGTCCTTTGTGACAAGAACGTTTGGTACTTGAACAAAAGTAAGAATGTATTTCTTTAGCAAAATGCAAAAATCGTGTATGGTTTTTAGAAAGGGAAAGGAACAAGGATTTCCTCATCTTTGTGAAGTTGGTGAGACATTTATAAGAGTTCTAATGGCCCCCTTGAGAATTTTAGAATTCTCTTATAATTTTACAAATAGTTCCGGCATTTAAAGCTACGAAAATAGCATTTAAATTTACGGGAAGCTAACTTCATATTTTTTTGCAAATTTGAAATGGCAAAACTTTTTTATGACTAATTTTAACGTTCCCATTATTGAAAATAATTTTTAGAACTCTGTAACGTCCCTGAAAAAACTTTTTTTTTGATTCCTTCACCATCATGATATTATTGTACCCACCGATAGGAATAGTTAATTATCGATAGTAGTTGCCAAATTACCGACAGTACATCACGTATCTATTATCAATTCTATTAGATTCGACAGTCGGTAACCAATATATTATATACAGGGTGTTAGGCTACTGGTGGGCATAATTTTAGGGGGTGGTAGCTGGGGTGATTCTGAACAACTTTTTCCTTTACCAAAATGCTGGTTAAAGCTTAGTTTTTGAATTATTAATGAAAAACACTGACCAATCAGAGCGCGAGAATAGCACGCGCTCAGATGCGAGAGCGACGGGTGCAAGCGTGACGGTTGACCCTGGTCGCGAACAAACAAATCGCGCGATATCGGTAACATAGTTACCATCATCGGTAGTACGTCAGCCGGTAAGTAGTTATAAAATTCACAACTACTAATAAGTATAAATTTATTAACGGAACTCATTGTATGGATGAAACGAAAATAAAGATGAAGGTCAAGCGTAGTTTTTTTTAGATAATTAAGAAAAATGACTATTTGTTTAACGATATAAAATTAAAGAATACTCGGACGCTGGGAAGACAATACCAATGCAAGTTTTTTGTTTCTAAAATTCTGTACAAAACGTCAGTTGGTTGTCGACGATCGAACGAGAATGCTTAGAAGAGAATGGTGCACATTTAAAACATTAAAGTAAATTTAATATTGTCGGTAATACGTGTTGTGCGATCGCGATAATACATCTTGCAATAACTGACTTTTTTCTTTGAATCACTCATCACGCATAATGTGTAGTATGTACATAGTGAGGAACTTTCGTAAATGAATTGATGTGGAAAAAAGGTGGACATTTTTAACATTCGATACTACGGACTGAACAATCATGGTGTGTGTTTGTTTAGTGTGGGTTCCGAAAATTGTACCATTATTATACGGAAAACATCTATCTGTCCAGGTCAATACCTGGCCAGATAGCACGAAAATACAAAGCAGTCGGTACGAGAAATGGACTGTTTTACGGCTCCGAACGTTGTTTTGTAAAACGGCTGCTGGTACGTGCTATACCAGAATGTTTAATGTCTGCTAAAATGGTCATCTAAGGTAATTAGCTTTTCGTTAGTTCGCCTTCGCACAATTTATTGCACGGTCAAGCCTAAACGGGACAATGAGCAACACCCTCGGAGGCATCGGAAGGGACAATACTTTTTACCAAGGATTCTCCAGAAGGTGAAAGTGAAAACAAAAGTGCTTTGAAATGAAGACAGTGCAGTAACCTGTGAGTGCCACCAGCTGTGTTATACGGTGCCAATGTTTGCGACAGGTCAACGTCAGCAGGACGACGCAATGGCAATTACCCCATCACTTTCACTGTTGGATTATTAACAAACAGGATTATTTTCAAAGAATGGGTGAGTCTTATTTTAATAAATTTCTTGTAAATTAGTAGAGACGTCAATACATTTGTTAGATCGAACATTGAAGCTCTTTTTTTTCACAAACAGAATAAGTATTTCCTATTAAAATACGTAAATTCGTTGACCAATATTACTGTCGGAAATAAAACAAAAAAATTTCGGTATTTAATGTCACATTCCTTATCGATAACGAATTGCAGTTTTCAATCAATTCCATTTGCATACTTCATGTCAATTACACATTACTAATTCCGATCCTCCTTCATGAGAAATGAATAAATGAACATTACTTTTAATTATTCTGTTCGTTATTTAACTGAGTTTCGATGTAAAGACTTCTTATTAGACGTTAAAACAGTTCCGAGGAAAACTCAGTTGATCACGTTCGCAATCCGGCGATCGGCTCGAAACTTTCGCTCCCGCTTCTCAGCGCGCGTAATCCCGGCGCTCTGATTGGTCCGTGTTTTTCGTTAATAACTCAAAAACGACGCTTCAAACCCGATTTTTGCAAAGGGAAATTTTGCTTAGCATCACGTCAGCTACCCCCCATTTCAGGGACCTACACGAGTTGTGAGACACCCTGTATACAGCAGCGTCGCTAGTGTATGATAAAATAATTAAAAGTGCGGTAGAAGGGGAAAGAAGGAAAAATGCTGAAGCTGGAAACGTCGAAGATGAGCTTATCGTATCCGGAGATGGGACATGGAAAAAGAGAGGTTTTTCCTCTTTATTTGGAGTAGCTACTCTCATAGGAAAATACAGCAGAAAAGTCGCCGATATCGTTGTGAAGTCCAGTTTTTGTCGGATGTGCAATGTTTGGGCAAAGAAAATGGACGATGACGAATTTGAAAGTTGGCGTGAAAGCCACGAAGAAGTGTGTGCCGCAAACCACTCCGGAAGCGCGGGTAAAATAGAAATAGATGCTGTGGTTGAAATGTTTCTAAGATCTCTAAAAAGACATGATGTAAAATATACGACATATATAGGTGATGGCGATACAAAAACATTTAATGGAATATTAAAATATGAACCATACGGCAAAAACGTTGTCGTAAACAAAAAAGAATGCGTTGGTCACGTTGAAAAACGCATGGGTGCTCGGTTGCGGAATGCGAAAAAAACAAATAAGGGCATTGGGGGAAAGGGCGCTGGAAAATTAACAGATAAAGTAATCGGCGAATTGACTAAATACTATGGATTGGCAATTCGACGAAATTCCAATTCTGTTGATGAAATGCGTAAAACAATTTGGGCTACCTATTATCAGAAAAGTTCAACGAACGAAAAACCGCAACATAGTTTCTGCCCGTCCGATTTGCATAGTTGGTGTAAATATCGCAAATCTGAAGCTGAGGAAAGTGTAGAAAATTTTACACGTAATAAGCTATCTTTGAGCGATAAGGTTTTGAAAATATTAAAACCGATTTACGAAGACCTAACATCAACAAATTTATTAGAAAGATGCATAGGAGCAGAGACTCAGAATAACAACGAGTCGCTCAATTCCCTTATTTGGACGTTTGCTCCAAAACATATCCATTGTGGTGCACGGACAGTACAGATTGCAACGTTCCTAGCAACGTGTATTTTTAATGAAGGACTTTCATCGGTACTACAAATTATGCACGTTATGGGGTTGTCTATTGCTCCTCAAACTGATATGTTTTGCGTTCGGCGCGATTCACACCGAATTCAACGTTCCGAGAGATGGTCGACAGAAGCGGCAAAACGAGCCAGGATCGATATTCGCGAAAATAAAGTGGCCCAACAGGAATTTCATGAAACAGAGGAAGGTGTACTGTATGGGCCAGGTATAGCCGATTAGTGGTAAGTGTAACAGTCTGCATGTAAACTGCTTTTAAATTTCAAACGCGTTTTTCTCGAAACGACATTTTTCAGGCTGGTCACCATGATTTCTCAAAAATGATTTGACCAATAGGGTTCAGCTTATACATACATGTTTAGTAGATGCGTGGATGTTGTCCCTACCACAGGTATACGTAAATATTAGTTTGTTTAAACTTTACAGCATAGAAAGTCACGAAAAAATGTGCCAAAATAACACATTCAATATTAAAATTTGCACCACTTTGAAAGCTGTTAATATCTATTCAAACCTGAGGTACGGGCGATAGCCATATTCATATATTTTAACAATCCTTTCGATTTTGTAACTACGGACCAACTGGAGGGCAGTAAACATGGTGACTAGTTGGATAGCTTTTCTCGAGGGGTTAACATTATAGAAGATCTCAGCCGTCTAACTGTACATAACTTCACTTCGAAAAAATTATTTTTTATATACCTAAACATAGATAAATAAACGAGAAATGTTTCAGGACTGAAATGTGTTAATCAGTTATTGAAAAAAATTCTTGACTAACCGCTAAAAATAGTCGCGTCATACTGGAATACCCCCTTAAAAAAATATTTTAAAATAGGTCAAATCATTCGAACGAAGCAAAAGCAAATTTAGCTAAATCTGTTAAGTAATTTCTGAGAAAAAATTCGTAAGTGAAGACTATTTTTGTCACTGAAAAGGTAATAAAAGGCGGATGCAATATATAGACAAGGATATATA